TGCCATTCTGTCCTAAAGGAATGACTGCGCGCCAGAGGTTTATTCAGTGGCTTTGTGCCTTTCTGCATATGGTCAGTGGCAGGAAGTCCTTTTGTAATGAACTTCCTGTGAGACCTGAAGATGCCTTGTTCTATAGCAGCTCCTTAAAACTGGGCTCACAATTACGTTTTAACACCCTTTGAAATAAAGAGGAAGGGGCAATACAAGCATTGCACTCTGTTGTAACAGTGGCTTCCTACCTGCTCGAGCAAGTCCAGAAAGGGCCACGGAGATGCTGTGAGGGCTGGAGCAGCTCTGCTCTGGAGCCAGGCTGAGAGACCTGGGCTGGGTCAGCCTGGACAAGAGAAGGCTCCTGAAGGGGACACCTTAGAGCAGCTCCAGTGCCTAAAGGGGCTCCAGGAAACCTGGAGAGGGGCTTTGGACAAGGGCTTGTAGGGACAGGACAAGGGGATTGGCTTTACCCTGCCAGAGGGGAGATTGAGATGAGCTCTTAGGCAGAAGCTCTTCCCTGTGAGGGTGCTGAGGCGCTGGCACAGGGTGCCCAGAGAAGCTGTGGCTGCCCTATCCCTGGCAGTGTTCAAGGCCAGGTTGGACACAGGGGCTTGGAGCAACCTGGTCTAGTGGAAGGTGTCCCTGCCCATGACAGGGGGTTGGAACTGGATGAGCTTTGAGGTTCCTTCCAACCCAAACCAGTCTGGGATTCCATTACCATTGCAATAGCAGTTGCTGTCAGACATATTTGTTTTCAGTGACTGTGAGGTGCTTCACATCCTGCTCCTGTGGGCAATGGAAGCTGTGAAGCACTCAGTATCTTGCTTAAGCGATGATGATGTGATATCCATGGATATAGTGACCATTTGCCTGTTGAGCACTGTAGCTGTGCTCTGTGCAAGCCTGAACCAAGTCCTTTACTGCTTCTTTGTCTTTGTTTTTCCTTCAGGCAGAATCGGAAATGGCTCTAGATGCAGAGTTCCTGGATGTCTATAAAAACTGCAATGGAGTAGTGATGATGTTTGACATCACCAAGCAGTGGTAAGAAACGTTCAGTGGCACATGCCATGGGACTCCCACTTGTTTAGAGAAAACAAATGACTTCCAGACTTCGTGATTCCCATACGGACTCTGGAGCTGATAACCAACCTAATGAGTTGAAACAAGCTTGTATCCCTTAAAACAATAGCTTTATCTTCTGACATGTCTTAATTTACTCCTCTCCTGGGCTTGTTTCATACAAGTGGTCTCTGGTGGGCTCCTGTACTGCACTTTGTGGTGTGCTGCTCTCTGAGGCCAGTTAATCAGTGCTATGGCAGGCTCAGAGTGCACTGGGCACATCACACCCCTGCTCTGCAGTGCACAATGGGAAGGGGAATGCTCATGAGAAATCCCCAGGAAGCCTGGTATCAGTGAAGATGATTCAGAGGCCCTGGGCTGCATTAATGCACAGGAATATTGAACTGTGCACATCTGCTGAGGAGGGGGAGAGACACATGGAAGGCAGAGTGGAAAGAGGAGGTGGAAAGAGTTCATGCTGTATGTTGAAGCCTGTGTTTCCCGGGTGTGGTGTGGGTCAGTGAGCCTCCTGGCAGCTGGAGGGAAGGTGTCCTTTGCTTCTGCTGGCCCACACCGTTTTGTAGGTCTGAGGGCAATGCTGCTGTAGGAGATGGGAGGTGGCTGGTGGAAGTGCATTATTGAGCTTGTCACCTTGTTGCTGGAGATACAAAGAATGATAAACCAGATAAACAGATAAAGAATGATAGCAACGTATTTACAGTTCATGTGTGTCTCTGAGGAGGGCAAAGGAGCCACATACTTGGAGGGACCTTTGAAAAGAATTCTTTCTTTGGGTGTTTCCCCTGTGATTTATGCATGAAACTGCTCACAAAATGATGCTTCCCACTCACCTGCCTATATGTCTCTCTCCTATGGTGAAGGACATTCAATTATATTCTGAGGGAGCTTCCTAAAGTACCAACCCACGTTCCAGTGTGTGTGCTTGGGAATTACCGAGACATGGGAGAGCACCGGGTCATCCTGCCCAGCGACGTGCGGGACCTCATCGACAACCTGCACAGGTGAGAGGCTCCATGGCCACCAGGCACCAGCACCACCAATGGCCGGGCTGCTGGCAGAGGCACATCACTGCATCCTCTGACCTGTGCCGAGTTTTTGGGCTGTCATAGCTCTGAGTGTCTCATGCAGCAGCTTCAGTTTACATGATGGGCCCTTTGATTTTGAATTCCTGGAAACAGCATGTGCCTTTCAAAGGTGCTTTTCCCAAGGACTCATCTTTTTTCTGGATAATCCTTCTCTTGTGAAAGAATCCTTTCCCTGTAGCGCAACTGTGCTCTAGTCCAAATAAATCTGCTACAAGCGAGCCAGCTAGTGCAACCATCTTCCTTGTGCCTCCTCTGAGAGCATCCCCATGGAGCATTACTGGGCACAGCCAAGTCCTACACCTGCTTGGCCAGCCAGGCAGAGATGTCAGTGCTCTGTTATTTAGTGTAAAATATTATGCGTTGGTCAGGAGCCAATAGGTCGTGCTTTTTTCTGGGGATTTGTGTTTTTAAGGCTTTTTTTTCAATCCTTGTCTCCTGTTTATCCCTATGTCAGGCACACAGACATGACTTGATCCATAATGCAGTCATTTCTTCACAACTTCATCTCTGTATGTGACTTATGTAGCTCTGTTTGCAAAACCTTCACTGGGAAATGAACAGCTTGTACAGTGGGAAACCTCCAGTCTAGTAAACCAGTGGCCCAGCGTCCTGACATGGTATTTCTTTGTCTGTCGCCTCATGACACTGTGACACAGCAACACCCTTCAGGAGGAACAAAGTGTGAATTTTGTCAGAATGGCCTCCTAGCCTACATGTGGGGGTTGAGGGCTCAGCTTGTATGTGAGGATTGCTCATGGTGTAGGCTGGAACAGCTCTGCTCTGGAGCCAGGCTGAGAGACCTGGGCTGGGTCAGCCTGGACAAGAGAAGGCTCCTGAAGGGGACACCTCAGAGCAGCTCCAGTACCTAAAGGGGCTCCAGGAAACCTGGAGAGGGGCTTTGGACAAGGGCCTGTAGAGAAAGGACAAGGGGAATGGCTTTAACCTGCCAGAGGTGAGATTGAGATGAACTCTTAGGCAGAAGTTCTTCCCTGGGAGGGTGCTGAGGCGCTGGCAACAGGGTGCCCAGAGAAGCTGTGGCTGACTCCACCCTGGCAGTGTTCAAGGCCAGGTTGGACACAGGGGCTTGGAGCAACCTAGTCTAGTGGAAGGTGTCCCTGCCCTTGGCAGGGGGTTGGAACTGGAGGAGCTTTAAGGTCCCTTCCAACTCAAACTAGTCTGGGATTCTGTGTCATTCAGCAAGAGCCTCTTCTGTGTGTCTGCAGTCCCTGTCCTCTACAGTTTTCTTCTCTCTACCTCTCTGGTTGAGACAGGCCTCCTGGCTCCTCGTATTTTCGCTACGCTGAGTCTTCCATGAAGAACAGCTTTGGCCTCAAGTACCTGCACAAGTTCTTCAACATCCCCTTCTTGCAGCTGCAGGTAAGACCGAGGGTATACGTGATGTGCTGGGTGGGAGGAATGGATTTCATTCTCTGTGTCTTTAAGCCGGGAATGTGGGGTTTGGGGTTTCCTTTGCTGTTAAAGGATCCTGAGATGATTTTTGGGTTTGTAAGTGTTGTTACAACAAAATTACATCAGGACGTTGGTGCCTCTGACTTAAACATGTCCCTGTTTGCCAGAGGACTCTGCTGGGTTCACAAATGCTCACCTCTGGAGAAAGGCTCCAAGATGATGAATAACACTTGCAAGAGAATTGCATCCAGTGGTGTAGCTGCCAAGCTTGTTAAACTTAGTATTTAATTTCTGCTCAGTTAAAACTTGAATGAGATTTGGTCATGAACTGAACAGTTCAGGGACAACTGCTGAAGATCTTTGCCCTTACAGTGACTGATCTGCTGTCTGCCTGTACACAGATCCAATTTTCACATTCCCTTCATAACTGAAGCTGTTTGGCTGGACTGAGTAGAAAGGCAAAGGCTGAGTGGGCACAGAAGGGTGGAATTCTCAGCTGTGGTCCTTTAGAAGAGGACCTTTGGGGTGACCATAGAGGGGTCCTTTGGAATCAACAGAATATGCTTTTCAGGGTACATATGGTGATGTATCATTGTTTTCTTTTGGATGCAAACAGCAGGCAGTTGATCTTGATTATCTTTCACCAGAAAGTGAAATCTCTGTGTATTTTTATATAAGTAATACCCGTGGAATGCTGGGTCAGAGGAAAGTGGCATATATTAGTGAATAACACCATGTCCTCAGGCTGCAGGGCAGAAAGAACCAGGATAAGAAAACTGAATATATAAAAACCCAGTAGAAGAAGTTGAACAATAAATGTTAAAGGAGAATGTTCTAGAAATCTGAGATTCAAACCCAACTTGCTGCTCAGTGGAGTAGATTGAAGTCTATCAGTGTGGTGTTGGCTCGATGTTTGGTTTTATGACCTTAGCTTCTATGGTAAAGGGATGTCTTGTGGAAATCATGCAGAATAATTAGTTCCCAAGTTACTTTTGTCAGTTTTATAGATCTCTCCTATTTTTCTCAGATAGATGCTGGTAAGAGACTGAGACATGAGCACAGCCTTCCTGCCAGGGTTGTTTCTGAAAGCTGCTCATGATGATACTGTTAGTAGTCGGTATATGCAGTGATTTCCATAGCCATAGTAATAAGTAGGAAATACCAAAGCATTTGTACTATCAGGTTTGCTTGGAAGAAGCTTTAGGATGTGAGTGTTAAGGGACCTTTCATTCTAATGTGCTGTGTAGAAGTAAACGTGATCTATTGATCTGAGACTGAAAGCAATTAGGACACTGAGATAAGGGAATTGTCCCAAAGCCACAGAACTTCTTGGACAAATCTTGGTCTTTAGAGAAATCGGAAAAATAAATCTGATATAACCTTTAGTTGTTTGGAGATTCCAGTGATGGTTGCTTGGGAGAGGGGAGGGGAACAAGGTGACCAGTTCTTCAGCTCAGTGGACTAGGGTGCCACTGGGCATAGTCCAAAACGTGCAAGTGCCACGTAGACTCACACATCCTGTGTTTCTCATTTGATTAAATCATTCAACACAGCAGAAACAAACCCAAAAAGACTTCTCATTACAGTTTAGTTCCCCAAATGTGCAAGGGGAGATTTGGATGGGCACACGCAGACAATACTTGTAAATGTGTGCTCCGTTCTTTGTACCTCGACGCAAAAGGTGGCAGTTGAGTTGTCCTGTGCCTGTCGCTCCAGGAGAGACTGATCACACCATGGCTGCCTGGCTTTTCCTTTAAAGCAGCAATGCCAAAGCTAATTCCTGCAGTTTTGTGTCTGTCAGGGATTGCAGGCAAGTACTTTATGTGCAGACTGATAAAATCACAGCATAGGATTCAACACAGAGATGTCTTGTTTCCCTTCCCCCTGGCCTTGCCATTGTGTGCTGAGGCAGGTGACACTGCAAACTGGGAGGCTTTGGGCCACTTCCAGCTTGGTTTGGGGGCTTTACTTGGTGTCAGACATCAGCTGGGATGCACTGCACTGGGCTTCTCCAGAGCCGCTTGCCTTGTGCCACAAGTTTGTTTGAAGGGCTTCCTGCTGCTGCTGAGTGGCTTGGGGCTCAGTGGGCCCTGCCTCGGAGTGCTGCTGGCCTCAGTAACCACCAGTGCAGCAACGTGTTCAAATCTGTAGGGGAAATTGCAGCTATACTTCATTCCTAAAGGTTCTGCTTATTCCTTCAGAGAGCCAGTACCAGGCTTCAGAAAGGAGTAATTTCCCTGGTACTTTGGAGCAAAGAGGGTTGAAGGAAAGGAATGCTATTGGGTATTAAATACACATAGAATCCTGGAATGGTTTGGGTTGAAGGGACCTTAAAGGTCATCCAGCTCCAAGCCCCTGTGTCCAACCTGGCCTTGAACACTGCCAGGGATGGGGGCAGCCACAGCTTCTCTGGGCACCCTGTTGCCAGCGCCTCAGCACCCTCATGGGGAAGAGCTTCTGCCTAAGAGCTCATCTCAATCTCCCCTCTGTCAGGTTAAAGCCATTCTGCTTGTCCTGTCCCTACAGGCCCTTGTCCAAAGCCCCTCTCTAGGTTTCTTGTAGCCCCTTTAGGTACTGGAGCTGCTCTAAGGTGTCCCCTTCAGGAGCCTTCTCTTCTCCAGCTGACCCAGCCCAGCTCTCTCATATGATTTAATCAGTCTCAGTCAACTGCTGAGGTTTCTCCGTGTTCCTTGGCCTGCCCTCCCACAGCTCCCAAGGGGAAAATTCCACTGTGTGCGAGATTCCAGGCTGTCCTTTCACAGGGGTGCTGCTCAGTGTGTTGGTTTGAAGTTGCACGTTTCAGTGTTCAGCTTACATTCATGCATCTTTCATGCAGGGAGCAGTGGCTGAAATTCATCCCCCAGCACAGAGCACGTTTCCTCCCACAGCCGTGGCTCTGCAGGCTGTCATCAGGTCCTCGCCAGGGGGAGGCTGTCACACCTGAGCACACGGTTCAGCTGTGGGTATTGCTGGTGGCCCACATAATGTGCAAACGGGATCAGGTCAGCCAGGCCTTGGGCTGCTGTGCTGGAAGGAGAAACCCTGCACACAGCTGGAACTGCTTTTTCCCAGGAATCACTCAGAAGTGGCATCCAGCCAAAGCACGGGGCTGTGGTACACGATCTATTCCCATCTTTTGGGTCATTGCTAAAAATAAGCTGTTTCTTTAATATTTTAATACCAGCCTGGTAAAATAGAATTTATTTTTTTAAATGGACTAAAGTGGACTTGAAAATCCATCCCTAGTGATGAGTGTTTACAAGTGACATGCAATGCAAGCCTCTCCTGAGTCACTCTGAGTTCTTCATTTATTGTCATCTGTGAAAACTGACAGAAGTACAACTCTGGGATATGTCTTAATGGCATAGTATGAGGAAAGGAAACCACTTGTTTAATGATAGCCATTATCTAAGTGTCAGGGTCAGCACTGGAAAGCAGTGTTCCTTCTGCCTCTGTTTACTCATCTGACTTCCTCACATTTATCTCACTCTTCTTAGGAAACTGAGGACAAAGCAGCAGAAAACTTGCTCTTTTTTTGTCTCAATTTTGCTTACAGGGTATGAATACGTGAAAGGATGAAATCTGTTACTTCGAGAATCTTTAATTTCTCCAGTCTTGAATTCTAACATCTAGAATTTAAATTCCAAAGTCTAGAATTTGGATTCTAAGATCCTTATTAGCACTTTGTTTAGTCGGGGAAGTTTAAATACATACAGCATGTCTTGCTGAATCTTCCTTGTCTGTCCACCACAATAAAGGGAACTTGAGTTAACTGATGACTTCATAATTCTTTGTATACATGATAGTCAAGTCAAGTTTTCATCTGCATAGAGCTTATGAATATGGTGAATAGAAATGACCCAGCAAAGGAAATACGGATCACTCCAAGCTGTTAATGCAATGGCAAAGGTAAAAATAAAGAATCTAAATGCCTTGGAAACAGTAAATTAGCTTAAGTCATGATAGAAGCTCTTACACTTCAAGAAAGATTGCATCTTCCAGTAAATGAGCATATTTAAAGGTTATCAACTGCTATGAATCACCTGGTCTTAGAGTACAAAATAGAAATGACTTAAGCCTCGCTCACTGATTTCAGCCATGGGAGAATATGCTATGAACCAGCCTCCTCCATGCAAGGCTCAGGCTGTGCCCTGTCTGCTCCCTCAGACACGGCTGTGCTGTGCTTTAGAGAAGGCAGATGAGTGACTTGCTCATGAAATTTGTGCACTTTCTTGACAGCTTCAAAGTTGTTGTGTCTATGAAAGTACAGGCTAAACCAGGCGGAGAACACTGGGGCTGTTCAACCTGGATAAGAGAAGCTCTGTGGAGACCTCAGAGCAGCTTCCAGTATGTGAAGGGTGCCAGAGAGGGACTCTTCATCAGAGGCTGTAGGGACAGGACAAGGGCAATGGCTTTAACCTGCCAGAGGAGAGATTGAGATGAGCTCTTAGGCAGAAGTTCTTCCCTGTGAGGGTGCTGAGGCGCTGGTACAGGGTGCCCAGAGAAGCTGTGGCTGCCCCATCCCTGGCAGTGTTCAAGGCCAGGTTGGACAGAGGGGCTTGGAGCACCCTGCTCTAATGGAAGGTGTCCCTGCCCGTGGCAGGGGGTTGGAAGTGGATGAGCTTTAAGGTCCCTTCCAACCCGAACCACCCTGTGATTCTACAATGCCAATAGTATATGCAGGTAGAGACTGAACACTGCTGCTTTACACAAATGTTTGTATTCCCACAGGGGGTTTATTCTGTAAGTTGTGTAGTAGTTCTCCTGTGTGGTTTTTACTCCCCACAGGATCATTCTGCAGTGAGCATTAGTGTTGTCAAATATGGTTATTGACGCTAATCTTCAAAAGGATTTGTCATAGAAAGGTTAAATGTGTCTTGAGGATGATGTAATTATAAAAGACAAAATCTTGGTAGTTTGGAGGAAACCTGCAGCTTCTCTTTTGTCTGCTCCCGTCTGGGCCATGGTGTCGCCCCTGCTGTAGCTGTGCAGTGCTGTGACTCATGACAGCACAAGCTGTCCCTGCTTCCCGTGCCATCAAGCATGTGGGCCGTGGGAGAGGGAGGATTGGTGCTTCCAGGAACTGAACATGGGGACTTTTGACTCCACAATTCAGTGGGTGAGCTGCCCTGTGTGCCCCTGCTCGGAGCCTGCCCAGGAGCCAAGTGGGTGCCAGAGCCTGCAGCAGAGCCAGCAGTGCCCAGTGGGGGGCAGCCATGGGAAAGGGGCAGGATTTGTACCCTGGAGCTGGGCCGTGGCTTGTTCCTGCAGGAAGGAAGGCTGCACCAGCCCTGCGGCTCGGGGCCATGGGCTGCTGGATATGCTGCAGGGAGCCCCTGGGGCTGGCCATGCCCCTGCACACTCAGCAGGATGCAGGTGGTTATTGATCTCTTCCTCTTGCCATCCGGGCAATCAGTGTCCCGTGACCATTTACAATTGATTTTGAGCCTTTCAAGCCAGCACTTCCCCTCAGCTGAGGTTTTTGTTTGGGTTCAGTTGGAAATGTGGGAAGGTAAGGACTGAATGAAGCCAACCTGGTTTCCATTAGTGAAGCCACTTACTTGGCTGCACATCTGAAATGGATGGGAGTGTCTGTCCCCTTCTGTGGGGCAGCAGCTGAAGGCAGAGGGGCAGTGACTTCTGAGATGTCACTGAGCTGATAGGTAGTGCTCACTCATCCACCCTGACAGTGAAAATGGCTCTGAGGTTTTCATCAGCTGGGTCCTGCTCGCTTTTTAGCACAGGGAATAGTGAAAGATCAGAATGAATGGGTTGCACAACTCTTCTCCACAGGAGTTGAGTCTATTCCCCAAATGCAACTGGCAATGCTGTGTCTGAACATCACACATTATTACCTTATGGCTGGCTACAGTTCACAGAACAAGGTACTTTCTTGCACACAAGATACTTTTCCTGCTGCTTCTGCTTCCCTTTGCACTTCTGTGTTTAAGTTGAGCACCATGAGAGGGGCCACAGCTCCTGTTTCATGCATCGCTGTGCATAGGGTGGTGACAGGAGATCTCGCTGTGCCCTCTCAGTGCACAGGGATCTGTTACAATGACCTGTCCTGCCCAGCCCCAGCTTGTTTCCCTTTCTGCAGAGGGAGACGTTGCTGCGGCAGCTGGAGACCAATCAGCTGGATATCGATGCAACATTGGAGGAGCTGTCAGTGCAGCAAGAGACAGAAGATCAGAACTACGAACTGTAAGTCATTGAGCCATCCTTTCTGGTGTGTTGGGGTTTAGGTGTCCCCTGAATGGTGGGCAGCCCCAGCTATGGCATGTGGCCAGGCTGAAGGGTCCAGTGGGTGACATTTAGGGGCTTTTTTGGGTGGGGGTCTTTTAAAATGTCACTTTGAAAGGGCATCCCCTGAAAATCAAGCATGCACATGGGGATCCCTGTGGAAGGGTCTGGTTCCTACAGGCACATGATCTAGGGAGGGCAGTGGAGGTGGAGCTGAGCACACCCAGAGGAAGCACGTCCGGAAGGGATTGTAGATAAGTGTGTTACAGCCTCTGGGGCTGAAAGGGGATATTTTCCATCTCTCTGTTGCTCAGCACACAAGTTGGTTCCTCCTCTTCTGGCTATTGCATTGCAGTGTATTGTGTATCTTGGGATAGGCAGAAAGTAGTGGCAACAACATCATTGTCTTTAGTTCCCTTTGAATACTTCTGGACTCCATGCATTTTTGGTTTGAAACAGTGGCCAGTTCCTGCTGTCTTGTGTTTGTTCAAACCCTGTCTGTTTGCCTGCTGCTGGAGATGAACATTTGCTGTTTTGAGCCCTGCAAAACCAGTACATCTGTAGCACTATGAGCAGGAATCTATTCAGATTTGTGTGTTGTTGACAAATGTGTTCCGTGAATTCCCATTGCAAGGTCTGTATTGCAGTGAGGTGCAAGCCAGAGAAGTCAACCCCAGAATGAATTGGAAAAAAGCTCCTTTACAGGCAGCTTTATTTGGAAGTCACAGTCGATGGTTATGAAATATTCATGCACAGCCTTTTTCAAAAGCATTTTTCAGACCAGGTTTCAGGTTCTATAACTGTAGTCAGTTGTTTTCCTTTGAGAGCACTGAAATACCCCATATTCCCACAGAGCAGTGCTATTTCCAGAGGGTTCACCTCATTCCTTTCCTTAGAGACCGGTTTGTCTCCTCCTGCCTCCAGCAGTTCTCTTGATGTCCCTACTCAAAGGACTGGGCTGTGTGGGCTGTGCTGTCAGATTGTTTTCTAGTTTATACTGCATCAGTAATGGGATGATACTTAAAAGAATCAAGAGTTGGCAGAGAGTCACAAGATCTTGCTACTTACTCACCTCTCACCCTTGACCAGCTTCAGCATTTGCTGGACCCTCACATATGCCACTTCAGCTCATGAATCCAGCAGGCACTGAGGGCTGCAGGCAGGGCGGCTGCTGCAGCACCTCCTCCGAGGCAATTCCTGCTCTCCTGCCATAAAATCGGGCCATGGAGCAGGGTGAGGTGACAGTGCCAGGACATCTCTGTTACTTCATTCACCCCTGTGCGCATCTGGTCGCTGCTCTGTCGCACTGATGTTAAATTGGGATCAGTGGGAACTGAGAACAAGCGCTCACCCTGCTGCAGCTGTACCGAGGACAAACAGCAGTGCTCCCAAATGTGGATCCCAGAAAAGACAGGAGGTGGCACACAACGCTGCCTCATCGCTGATGTAAGCCAGCCCCTGGCTGGGCTTTGCCTCTCTAAGGCACGTTTAGATGCTTCCAGCTCTTTCCACCTCTTTCCATGTACAGTCTCCTCTCCTCCTGCCACCCCTCTGGCTCTGGTAATTTCCCTGTGGTGTCTCAGATTTTACATTTTCAATGCAGAAACTCATTCCAGCCCTTTCTGAGTTCCTGAATTCTTATGGACCAAACAGTAGTGACTGTTTTTTTCACTCTCTTCTGAATTTATACTTCATGTGCTCAATTTTTCCATCGTTAGTTCTCTGCAGCTTATCTTTTGGCACAAGGAAGACTTTTTTTATGTCCAGCATGCCTGTTCCCTCACTGCATGGTGCACATGCAGAAACAGCTTTGGGGAGACTGTGGAAGCTCTTCCTGCATATTCATGTTTTCAGGAATAAGCTACTGGTGGAAACATGTGCAGAGGACAATAGAAGCAGGTTTCATGTATGGTTTTCATGAGCTTTTATGTTTGGCTGCATTTTTCTCTAGTATTACTCTTCTTTTAATATCAAATTCATTTCAAGGGTGAAGTAATCAACTCTCTTTGAATTAACTCCCACCCCCTGCAATTACTACAAGTTAGTCAAAAGGAATACTGAAGTTATTCCTTGTGAGAAATCCCATCTTCTTTCACACTTAGTGTTAAGAAGCTTCAGGAAGTTGTCACCTGTGAACCTCTGTGACTCTGATTTGTAACACGTGAGGTCCAACTTCTTCACAAGAGTTGTTCCTAAGAAAGGAGTTTTCAGATTGTTTACCCTGTGTGTTTAAGAGCTCTTAAGCAAACAGTCAGGCTTTTTAAACTTACATCCAAAGCAGTTGAACTTCAGATTATCTGAGCTGTTGTATGATCCAGGCTACAACTTCTGCAGGGGCAGGACCTGTCCCAGGTTTGCCACATGATGGAAGTCCTTCTGCTTACTTTCCATACGGCTGTCACCTGCACTGTCAGCTCACCCTGGATAGGCAGGTGCAACTGTCCAGGTAGGAAAGATCACAGAATCATGGAGTCATTTAGTTGGAAAAGACCTTTAAGATCATAAAGTCCAAATGTTAACCCAGCCAAGGCCACTTCTAAACAATGTCCCTGAGTATCACATCTACACATCTCTTAAATCCTTCCAGGGATGATGACTCCTCCATTTCCCTGGGCAGCCCGTTCGACTGTTTGACAACCTTTTTGGTGAAGACATTTCTCCTAATATCCAATCTGAGCCTCCCCTGACATAACTGGAGGCCGTTTCCTCTCATCCTATGGATGAGGGACCAGTGGCTGCAGAAAGGCATTTGTGCTCTCCTGATGAGGAGTCTTCTTCTGGGAGCCACGCTCCCTGCAGCTCTGATCACTGCACAGCCATTGAGTGGCGCTGGGGGGTTGTTTGCTGTTTGGTTTTTCTGCATTGAGCACGAATTGTAATTTTGGGAAGACAGAATGAAGGAGAAAACTCTCCCCTGTGAGGGTGCTGAGGCACTGGCACAGGGTGCCCAGAGAAGCTGTGGCTGCCCCATCCCTGGCAGTGTTCAAGGCCAAGTTGGACAGAGGGTCTGGGAGCAACCTGCTCTAGGGGAAGGTGTCCCTGCCTGTGGCAGGGGTTGGAAGTGGATGAGCTTTGATGTCCCTTCAACCCAAACCAGTCTGGGATTCTAAGACCATGGTGCTGAGTAACCCCAGCACTGTCTGTCAGGAGGACCTGCTGCTAGAGCTGTTCTCTTGTATCTTCAGCTCTGTTGAGGTACATGTGGAGTCACACCAGCTAAAGGCTGAATGACCAGTTAGGAAAGCTGAGACACTTCGGTTTCCCTTCCCCCTGCCCCACCTCTATCATTTCTTCTTGCTGTGAGTCACTGTTGCCATCAGACAGATCAGGAGCCAGTGTGTACTCGATGGGACTCCAGGTCATGTTTTTGTGTGTGGCAGCATTAAGAATTAATTGCAACTAAGCCTATCATCATTGCTTTTGCTAGAGAATGGGAGAACATGGAGTGTGTCCAAAGTATTGTGCAGGGGGGATAATCCTGCTGCATCCATTTTGGGTCAAGTGGAAAACCTGAGGAGCTCCTGGGGAGGGACTGTGTTCTGCAGGGCCTGGGCACCAGGATTCAACCCACTTGGCACTGATTTCACATTCAGGGACCTGGCCTTAGGGGGAATGACGTTCAGTACCTTTAATGAGCCCAAACCAAACATGTGGCAATCTATAACCCTCAATAACCCCAGTTAAAGTGATGCTACACAGCCTGTTAATCTTCATTTTCCCAATTAATGCACTAACCCAAAGCCCTTCTTGCCACATGAAATACACTGGAAAAATTGATCACAGCACATTAGAACCAGGAGCCAGAATGCTTCAGTCTGCTCCTGTCTTTAGTGGTAAATGAACATGAGCACTGGAAGCTTTAGGAACTGTGAGGCCAACAAGTGCTTGTGTGGTGGCCGTGTTTGCCCTGGAACCAGAGCAGGACTAACCTCAGGCCCTGATGAGGTTTTGCTCCCACAGAGCATGTTCATCTTTAAAGTTGCATAAAGTCTTCTCTTGCAAGAGCTCCAAGTGGCATTGTGAGCCAGGGATCCTGAGGACAAGGGCTTGTTACTCAGGCTGAAATGGAAGGACTGAAAGGTGACAAGAGGCACATAGGTAAGCACAGACAACCCATGTGCACTTGTGTGGCACATTTGCTGTCTATATCCCAATGGAACAAGTGTGCTCAGGTCACAGCATGTGCTTTTAATAGGACCCAGTCTACTGCCCTAGTGTGGATGTGTAGCTGCTTGTTTCACAGTAAGACTGAGTGAGTCATTTTGTGAAGGATGACAAAAATGCTGGAACACAGAACACAGTGGCCACATAGTACAGAATATGAGATAAAGCAGGCACGTGGCAGGTTCGGGCTGGTGTGTTCCCAAAACAGCCACGCATGTGCCTCTGAAGAGTGTGTGTAAAGCCAGAGAAAGCTTTCATGCATAATGTAGTATTATCAGAGTGTGGAGGATGCTCAGACACCTCCACCCTGGAAATTACTGAATGCTGCTGGCAGCGCTCTCATGGCTGCTGTTTTTCCACCCACCTCTTTCACAGCAGAGGGTCTGGATATGAGAGCTCAGCAGAGCTGGATGATGCAGCCCATGTAAAACCTGGATCGCACCATCTTGAGTTCCCCGGTATCATGGCACGCACCACAGAGCTTGGCCCACGTGTCTGGCTGGAGATGGGGAAGGTGACACAAAGCACATGTGCCACCGCTCTCCGTGGTGCTGTGCTGGGGTAGGAGCCCATCTTGTGCTGCCCCCAATAACCATTGTATCTTCCTACTAAAAATAACTTGCTGTGTCTTGTTCTTGTGCCCTTCACATAAAGTAGGTGAGCAAGGCTTGGGCACACAGGTGCAGAAGCAGCCTGCCTGTGTGTTACTTCCAGACTAGCTGACCTCCTTATACTGCAGTTATGGAGCTTTTTTTTCCCTCCAGCTCTTAAAATTCCTATGTTTCTGCAGGAGAAACAGGTGGTAGTCACAGCCTCCTTCCTTCTGGAGCTGGCTACTTGCCTAGAACAAAGCAGATTGTTTCCAAAATCGGAAGCTTTGGTAATGCAAAGTTCAGTAGATCTTCAAATACCTTGATAGTGTAAGGAATGTCCTGTGCTTTGTTAGGTCCAGCTTTAAGTACTGTTTGAGCTTCATATTCTGTATCGTAAAATGACTATACACGTGCTTTGTGTATACTCCATACAGGATCCTTAGTCTTCAGTGGACAATTGTCTTCCCCTGCCTGAGTCACCCAGTTGCCTTGATGGTGGGACTCAGTGTCCTGATCAGACTCAGAGGTTGTTTGATTCTGTTTTCATGGATCATTGGTGACTGAGGTGCTCACACAGACCGTTGTGGAGCTCAGCTCAGACAGGAGAGTGAGCAGCGCTAGCATCAGCATCTTGGATGCTGGATGCAGCAGTGACCAAGCTTTCAGGTCTTCCAGCTGGGATTTTTGTTGCTATGAACAGGAACAGGGGTGAATGTAGATCCGCTGGCAGGGAATCCCATGTCTTCACAGCTGGGAGGCCGGAGCTTTTAACCCTGAGTGGGGCTTGGGAGGATGAGGAATGAGTACCACAAAGCAGAGCCATCCAGCCCTTCTGCCTTGGGCTCACCAGGATCAGAGCCCAGAGGGGAGGAGTCACAGGACTGAGCACTCAATGCTTCTGGCGTGGATCTGCAGAGCCACACACCTTGTGCAGGTGACTCTGGTGAATGGCTTTTCAGGCCACAGCAATTCTGTGGGCAAAGAGCATTCCTGTGGTTGGACAGGGTCTGGACGGCAGGTACACTTGGCTTATCCTTCCCTCATCCCAGACACCTTGTGTGCTCTGCCTGGAGGGATGCCTGTGGCGACCCTTCCTCAGGAGAGGAGTGATGTGCGACTGCTCGGCCATGCAGCGCCATGGCAGAGATGTATTGAAAATACACTGTTATATTCTTGTGTAGATGATAGATTGTGCACCTCCCAAACAAATCTGTTGCAGTCTCCACAGAGATCAGTGCCAGAGTTAAGCTCCTTTATGTTTCTCTTTGGTGCATGACAAATCCATGCATCAGTTTCAGTGGAACATGTTATTGCACAGCTCACCCCAGCTACCTGTTCCCTGAGAGGGAGGATGCTGGAATGGATGCTCTAATCTTAGCTCTGCCAGGAGCTTGTTTTCTTGAAGCCAGTCTGCTGGGTGGAATAAGCACATAAGCCTTGTCCCAGTCCTGGTGGAAGCATCAGTGAAGCTACCATAGCGTGGCACTGGTGTAGGTGCCTTGGCAGTGGTGTGACAGCCGGGCCCCTTTGCTGCTCCTCCTGGGCATCGCTGTATTGCAGCCTTTAGTCCGGTGAGCAAGGAGAGTTCTGGCCATTCTCATGTGGTGAACTTGGAGCAGGAGCCCTTGTTTCCTCGCCCTTAAGCAGATGTCTATTTCCTTTGTACTGGTGAATTTCTTCCCATTTCTGTTTTTCAGGATCATTCAGTTCTTCCTGTATCTTGTCCCTATTCTCCTCTCTGCTAATGCTGCCTCCCATCTTGCAACCTCGTGAGCATTTCTCTGGTCTCTGCTGCTTCACTGAAATATATCTCAAGGCCAGACCTTGAGAAACTCTACCAAAGATTCTCTCTTGGCTAATACTGCTTTTCAGTGCTGTCCTTTATCTCTGCTTCAGCCAGTTCCTTAGTCGAGGACTGCTGGTTTTCCAACTCAAGTAGCAGCTTCCTGGGGATGTTGTTCTCCAGGGCTCCAAACACTGCTGGTCACAAAGTATATTAGTTTGTTCTTCAGAAGTGTATAAGGTTGATCCTTAAAATAGGAAATGATATCTTGGGGGAGGGGGGGTTAGAGTCTTTTAGCCCCTGCTGTTTGCTTCTGCTCTGCACTCATTCCAGCGAAGGTGTCTGGCTCAAGGACGAGGCCGTGCTCTGTATGGGAGAGGAGTCTTTATTTTAACATCCTTCTTGCCTGGAGCACAACTGAGTCTGTCTTGCAGAAGCAGTTGAACCCAGAGCCTCTGTGCACCAGTTCATTGGGCTTAATGAGATAAGGGGCGAGACCAGGACCACTTTTAGACATGGTACTTCACTTTGGGTATCCTCTTTACATCTCTCCACTTCACAGTAAGAGCCTGTCTTTCTGTTGGTATTTCTTTGCATACAGCTTGTGAAAAGACCACTCTCCAAGCGGGCTGCAGGAGGAAGCTGCAAAAGGGATAGAGCGTTTCACCCTGTCTGCTGGTGTAGGCTTTAGTGGTCTTCTACGCAGTGATCCAGCCACGACCACAACTTGCTTTGGAGCTTCTGCTGCTTGACTTCGCTGCCTCCCGCACAGAGGGGGAGTGCATGCAGGGGGGACCACCCGTGTGTCTGCACATGCGAAAAGAATCATTGCAGTCAGTCCTTTGTGAGCCCTCTGCATAGCTCTTTTCTTCTGACGTTCAAGGATTCTCCTCTCGAACCCATTGGCTGAAAGAAGAGGCTTTTATAGCATTTGAGTTTTCCTTAACACTCTTATCTCTTCCGCACAATCTAAAAATATGCCGTTACTGTAGCACTTACTCCCTCACAGACATATGTACAAGAACTGGCTTAAGGTTGTGTTTCAAGCCCTGGCATGTTGTTATAGTCTGTCTATCCAGGGAGTTCCCAGCAGTGTTTGAAATACAGGTTTCGTCCTGTAGTACAAAGCAGGTTGGGATTCTCCACACCTCGATGCAGATGGAGTGACTTTAGCTCATGTGAGTGAATCAGGTTTATTGTGGCCCAGGGAGTTGCAGCATCGCTGGAACCAGACCTACGCCCTCCCAGCTCAGCACATGGCTCAAGCAGCCCAGCATCATTCTGGGTGCTCTGTTGAGCATGTTTTCTCCATTCCTTATATTTGCAATTTATCTTCTCTGCAGCTTCCTTGAAATGATGGAAGCCCGAAGTCAAGGACACACGTCGCCACTAACAACCAACGGGCAAAGCCCTTCCTCTGGCTCTCAGTCACCCATCGTACCTCCGAGCTCCACATCGACAGGCAGCTCCAGCCCGGGCACCCCACAGCCACTGCAGCCACTTCCCACAAGCTCCACTGTCTCTCCTGAGCCCCCCCCATCCTTTTCACCAGTGCCTGCACCTGAGGCCCTGCAGCCACATGCGCCTCCCGCAGCCCCCCCAGCACCTCCAGCTGCAGCCCTGCCGCCCAAGCGCAGCATCATTTCCCGTCTGTTTGGGACATCTCCTGCACCAGACCCCTCTCCTCCCCAGCCAGGTAGGTTGCTGGGTGTCACCCATGGGCATTTCTGGGCTTGGATGGGAACTGTGTCCAGCCAGCTGGGTGGCTTCGTGATGAAGGCACTGAACATGCAGAAGACGCTAATAAAGTAACTGTCAGCTTCTTACCAGAAGCACAAATGCCTCTTGAATCACGGAATCATAGCATAGGATTCCAGACTGGTTTGGGTTGGAAGGGACCTTAAAGCTCATCCAGTTCCAACCCCTGCCACGGGCAGGGACACCTTCCACTAGAGCAGGTTGCTCCAAGCCCCTCTGTCCAACCTGGCCTTGAACACTGCCAGGGATGGGGCAGCCACAGCTTCTCTGGGCACCCTGTGCCAGTGCCTCAGCACCCTCCCAGGGAAGAGCTTCTGCCTCAGAGCTCATCTCAATCTCCCCTCTGGCAGGTTAACGCCATTGCCCTTGTCCTGTCCCTATATGCCCTTGTTAAAAGTCCCTCTCTTGAATAGCATTAGAGAAGCTATTTGCAGCTCGGTCTTCACTAAAGTGTGATAGCCCAAAGGGGCTCCTGTGTGTTAATGGAGAGCAGCTGAGAGCTGGTTTTAAAGGTTATTCAGCCAGAAGTGATTGTGTCAGTGCAGTCTCTGCAGCAGTTCTCCTCCAGGGAAATCTGCTCCTTTGGAGATGGTCTGAGGAGGAGGGCACCCGCCTCAGCTTCTGCCTTAGCACCAGCACACAATGGAGCAGAGGAGCAGAGTATTCAGCCTGAGCTCTGCTGGATAAAGTTGCAGGGCAGAAGCATTGAGGGGGTTTGTTGCATGTAATTTTACTGATCCAGACCTCAATTTGCCTGCCACATTGACTTTGTTGGCAAAGCTAACTGGAGCTGCAGAGCTGGTACTGCCTAAAGATCAGTAGGATGACATGGTTTGAATCCCCCTTTGGAAATACCTTCCCTCTCAAACTGTCAATTCCTAGACCTCACAGCATTCTTGAGACACCCACAGAAAGAAAGGAGGAGGTGCTGGAACACGGTTTGCAGCTTCTCATGTTGAAATCTTTCAAGTTTAGCTCTGCACACAACAGTCTGCAGCCTGAATCTGCTACCAGGTGTGACAGAGTGCACCAGGAGTTTATGGCTCTTCCTACCCAGAAATAAACAGGAGCAAATCCCTTGTCAAGAAAAACCCCTTTCATATTGGTATGTAGAAAACAGGAAAGTGTGTCCTGCCAGTATTGCAGTCTTTGGGATTTGCTGCTTTTTCTTTTTCTTTTTTTAAATCTATCACGTAGCTAGAGAATTGCTTTAGCAATTAGTTCAATTAGTTCTGTTGCAGCCCTGGTATTTCAAGGGTGCTTTTTAGCAGGCATGC